CTCACGATGGATGAGCTGATGATGTTCCGTAGGTTGCGCTGGCTTGGTCACGTGCTCCTTACACTAGTCGGCCGACTTCCTCGAGAATCCCTTTTCGGGCAACCACGCAAAAGGTGGAAGCGAGCCATGGGAGATCAAGCAGTGTCTTGACTGCGAAACGTGAACACTTGGCTGATTTTGTCGTTGACGTGTCTCTGGATGAAGATTGCGAGACGGACACATCAATAGTTAGTTAGAGACATGGACAGATATGGACCGATCGAGGCATGGATTCATCCAAACTGTTGCCTCCAATACATAGCTCCCCTTCCCGACTACTCTAATTTTATGTCCTCTGTCAACCCTGGATTCACGCGTCAATTATGTCAGCTACTGACTCCAGACAGCTATTCTCTTCTATTTTCTCCAGGTCATTGTTGGGCGAAACTGTGGCATATATAGCCGCTGTACGACAAGTACGCCGTCCTCACATCTGACAAATCGCCTTATGTCACTTTGACAAACACTGGAATGTCATTTCACCCCCGGCGCACACTCTCAAGTGACTGTGTGCAAACCAATGGTTTCAACAGACATGGTCAAACGAGGATGGGTCGATTCGTTTTGTAGTAATCAGCTGATGTGATTAATTGAAAAAGTGAGGAAAGCATGTTACCTCTGGCTGAACCATTAACGTAACCGGCGCATCTCGTTAGATAAACTGAGGTCAGTCGTGCTCTGTAGTAGGCACATTCAATCTAAATTGTACTCACCGGTTCGAATGGACCCGAGAAGTATACACGTCTTGATCGTAGTAGTACTCACGATCCAATGAACTTAGCTCATTAGTATATCTTTCCGTCCACTATCGTTGGATGTTTGTGCAGACGTGTCATCTCGACCATCAGCATGGTTTGTTTGCAACTGCCCAGCCACTGCCACTGAACTTTTACGGTCAAACGGGGCGAATTGACCGGTTCGGTCAATCAGTAAAGTAGATTCGCTGGTGGTTTCAAATTTATCCCGTGTCAGGTAGTATCATCATTAATGTATCCAGTGTGCTTGCTGGTTATGGAAATGAACGTTCGGAACCTTCTTGTCAGACCAATCTTGATTGGGTTAGTGAAGCCTGAGTTGATCTCACATGAACATGGGTAAGAACTTTTTACACCGAATTTTCCCGCGGGTGTATATACAGTTTTGTTCTGACAGATTACAAAACAACCGCAGGATGAAAATCCGTGAGGAAAAGAACCCAACAGGTGGTGGTCTATGTCACTGGAAAGAACGGCCAGAGATAGCTTGCCTATAGTTTCGGATGTCATCTGGGCATTACTGAGGAATAAAATGCCATCAGCAGACTCAATTTACCCGATTATGCTGAACTTTACTCATTAGGAGCCCAACGCTTAACGGTAGAAATTGTACCCATAAAATGACGTGTTCTCCACCAATTGGGCTTATCACCATGTCCCTTCCGGTTTGCATTCACGTGCGAAGTAAATCACCTGGGCACCAACCGGGAGAATGTGGAGGTCCTACGGTATCCTGTTTGAAAGTAGCCACTTCCATTTCGCGTTGCTGTGTCATGGTCTTTGGGTGGAAGAAGTCTTCGGTTCGGTGAACGGTGGTGGGGCGTGAATGGTCGCCAACCCAAGCGTCGTACCACGGCGGTTTTTATACTGCTTCATAGTTTCAACCCACTATCAAACGTTCGCGTAGGATAAACTGCATTGTAAGAATGTTGCAACCACCTGAAATCTGATATACCATGAAGACGTCGTGTACCAGATGTTTGGAAACCGTTAAGGTCTTCAGACTAACTAGCAAGGCTGAACTCTAGACAGCTCAGTGGTTAGGATATGAACTCACAGACTGGATGGTCCGTGCTTCAAACCTAGAAGCTAGACTGCTCCAGTCTAAGCCTGAGCAGACTGGCAGTACCTAAGCCTTCGTGCTTCCTCTGGGTGGCATGGCAGCTAGACACCGAAAGGGTGTTGTAGCCTAACGATTCTTTTGACAAGTTTGGATTCACACTTTTGTTCCGACCTAAAACTATCACCCTGTAGCGGTGGTCGAGCTTAAGTGCTGCAATGGTCTCGTGGGATATATTGGCTGCAACTCAGTTCCCTTAGGTTCATCCATGCCAGGAAGCCCAATGGGGAGCAGCCCGACGAAGAATAGCGAGTCCCTTACTGCGGGTAGTCGTATTACTTGGTGGTCTGGAGGTAAAGTCGTACCGTCCTTTGGGGCGAGATGGCCGAAGTGGTTAGAGCTCGAATTTACTGACCGGAAGGTCCGTGGTTCGAATCCGACCTCTGCCTCTCGACTTCCCCTGTCTAGACTTGGGCGACCTGGCAGTATCCCAGCCCTCGTGCTTCCTCCGGGTGGCATGGCAACTAGGCACCGTAAGGGCGTTACAGTTGCACAACTATTATTATTATTTATTATTTACCGTGCTTTGCGATGGAAGTGTGAAGGCAGTAAGACCTTTTCCCAATGGACCAGTAGGTCTCTATTTGTGGAAGCAGCGATGCTGCCTCCCCATGAGGAAGAACGGGTTCGAAGATGTGGGCGCTGAAACCCGCACACTCCGATCACAGCAGCGATGTGCCTCCCCATGAGGAAGAACGGGTTCGAAGATGTGGGCGCTGAAACCCGCACACTCCGATCACCCAATGGTTGAAGGTGACCGCCGGCGCATTATTCAGTACGGTCAAAATACTTTTAAAGCCAAAGAGCCTGGTGACGCTCAAACGACACCTGCTATGCACAGCTGCATTAAGAGATAGACGGCAATACTTTACTCTCTGCGTCCTCGGTCACCTGCAGCCAAGTAAGTCAGACCATTGAGCCATCGGCTCCGGACAGGGTTCTCCAAGAAAACCCTAACAACCGCTGTCTCGCGGTCCAGACCCTTGAATCAGAGGCTAGAGGCAAGGTCCCCGAGCAAAACTCTACATCCTCCCACTGTCTTGTGGGTCAGACTTTTGAGTCAAGGGCTCAAGGTGGGGTACCTCAACCAAACCAGAAAGTATCATTTGCCCTTGCAGCTCTTCGCTCACCGACATTCTCCCGCACTCCCTCTTCACCCATCAAACAGTGCAGTGCGGTCAACCCATCTGCCAACCCCTGTGTCTAAACCTTCGCCCAGAAAAAATAAACCAAAAGGTCTGATCTATGTTGCAGCCTTTAATGTCCGTAGTCTATGTGAAATTGGGAAACAGGCATCTCTTGCTGAAACCTTGCTTTCCCCAAGACAAGACACAAGACCCCACTTCTGTCGTGATCATCAAGCCGCTAGAAACGAGCTCAGATTTTCCACTCTTCAGGTGTCCGGTGGTCCTGACGCAGTGGCTCGTGGTGTCTACGGCGTGGGAGTTGCACTCAGCCCCAAGGCTGCGTGCTGAACTGGATCCTAGTAAAGTCGCCTTTGCGCTGTGCGGTCGTCTGGCTCAATTAAGACTAATGCAGGTCGATGCGGTAAACCGTGTTTGTTTGTCGTATCAGCATACGCCCCAACAGACTGCAGTTCTGAGACTGAAAAGGACGAGTTTTATCAAGATCTCTCATGACTTTCTCTCGGCAAGAAGGACGAATATAGTAATCCTGGTTAGTTATTTGAGTGCCCAAGTCCGGAAGAAGCACAGTGAGGTGGTAGATTTGGAGTCAATGTTGGCCGTGCAGGTAATGGAGAGCCGCTTATTCAGTGTGTGTTCCTGTTCCAGTACGAACTTCCAACACAAACGCTCACACCGAGTTACTTGGAGGCCACCTACCACACGATAGCCATGGACTCAGATGGACTATGTGGCAATTAGTTACCGACGGGGACCCTCATTTGAGGATCGGGGTACGCAACTTCACTGTGATCATGCCATCGTTCGAGCCCAGTTAGTACTTCGCTTTCCGTCAACAGTACGCATGTGAAAACAGAACAGCTCCGTTCATCGATTTCGACAGGTTTCAGTAGCTCAAGACTATTGAGTTGATCTGACTAGAAAGCTACTGGATACGCAGCCATGCGGATGACAAAGATCGCTTGGAGGTTGAATGGCAGCGGGCTAAAGAAGCTACGCTCTCAGGCTTTATAACTGCCTGTCCAAGCCATCTCAATCGACTAAATGAACACTGGATATCTTTGAGATCAGAAGGTCGTTTTGAGGCTAGAGGATCCATAGCAGCAACTAGCGACTGTGATGGCGCACACAGAATCGTTTTGAGGCTAGAGAAGCCACAGCAGCAACTAGCGACTGTGATGGCACCCACAGATCCCTCATACATAGGATAATCAAGAGCTTGAAGAGTGACAGTGAACGCTTGTGGATTTCGAAGGCCCAGGAGATGGAGAAGGCTTTCGCTACAGGTAACAACTGTGCTCTGCTTCAACTGATCCGATCAACGGGTCAAAAGAAGACAGGCGTCAGTGAAACAATATGCGAAAAAGATGGGACGGTAATTCGTTCCCTCGGTCTTCATCTTAAGCGGTGGGCTCAGCAATTCAAACAACACTTCAGCAGCTGGTTTTCTTCAGCACAACTTCTGGAAGAACCCATACGGAACATCGGCAAATGGAAATCGCACATTCAGTGGCGCTCGTGCATCAAAGCTATCGCCTTCAATGCGTAGCTACCCGATTCCTGAACTGACTGTGTCATCGCCTCCATGGCACTCCCGCACTCTCATACTTTCCTGTGATCGAAATTGTAGCAGCTGGAATCAGTCTGACTATGTACATGGTTTTTAGCTGATAACTTGATCTAAACGAACATTTGTTTTGTTTATACAATAATGGGGAAATCCTCTTCTGTCCCCGTAAGTGTGAACGCTAGCGAAAATTTCTCTCGATTTTGATGGTACATGTGTTCACTTCATCAATCACGTGTGCCGTCGTTAACGGGCCTGATGTGTGCACATGATTCAAATCTGTTTTTGTCCTTGGATTTCAGCTGGTCTTTTGATGTCAGATCGTCGTACACTGCGACGGTCCTTCGCTCACTGACCCCTTTGCGTCAGAAGTAATGGATTCCGACCAACCCCTGTACATTTTGATAGGTACGTTCCTCTCCATTTTCCCCACCATTCACGCGATCAGGTGAAGGTGAGAACAACAATCAGCGGATCGCAGCCGTAGAGAAGTTGTTTGGCTTCTCTTCTCAGGTACGTGCGGACGAGTGCATGACTAGCCCACTTTCGTAGAAGCTGATGGCTCCCAAGCGCGTTCTAGTTGGCGAAGGCGTGCTTACCAAAATCTGTCGACGTAAACCGAAATTGCGACACTTCTTCCTATTCAACGATGTTCTACTCTATGGTCGATTGCTTGTGCACCGCAAGGTAAGCACTGGTCGCATCAGATCGGCATCAGCAACATTTTAGCTTGGCCATCCGCAGTTTATTGACCTTTCTGAGGCTGTGGTTGAAGATATTTGTGATAATGGAAGTAGGTCTCCTCCCGTTTCCTTTCATGCATGCACCCGATTTTCTTTTAGTCTATCGCAATGGCTTCGCTATTATGAGTCCAAAAAAGTCGTTCACTGTTTACTCCTCGACGGCAGAAGAGAAGATCCAATGGGTGGCACATATGAAACGAAGTATTGCGGAGGCGCGCGCCCTATGTAGGTCACAGTGTGTGCTTTTATAGGTTGGTCTGATACTTGCGCCATCCACGTTGTCGCACTGGAGTTGAAAATTGCTCGTAGTAATTGAAACGCAGAGAACGACACTTCGTTGGTTCTTATAGTGGACATGTGCTGGGTGCTAACCCACGTTCCGGTCCATCAGAAGAACACAAATGGTTTGACGAATGTGTTTTCAGGAAGGGATTTTCACGTCGTAAAATTTTAAAGGCAAAGATAATGGTATTGCCCCAAGGCAATTCACAACGTAAAAAGGCTAGTAGCTCTGGTTATCCATCCCTGTAGCTGTAAGTTTAGATCACAAATAGGGCGTTCGTTTTGATGTGTTCGATCCTATTGCGTGCGTGTTTTTGATAACAAAGGATAGGATCGCTTCCGGACGGTGTCTACCTCAGCCACGTCTTCGCTGAACTCACATTTGGTCCGTAGGGGCTTTTTGAACCAGCGGAAAGTTCTGATCTAGTAGGTGATACCGGGTTGAACTGGGCTGCACAGGGTCATTTTCCGTTTCTTTCTTACCGAGCTACGTAATTTCACGACCAACATGTTCAGCTGTGAGATCCTCGTTTCATCCTGGCTGAGTTCTACGTGGGGCTGAGAGCCCTTCAGGACATGACGCGCAACCGATCTCAGTGGCGCCCACGCTATTATTCCCTTCCATTGTGTACGGCATTTAAGCGTCAGCACACATGTTACCCGTATAAAGTGTCAATGATGGCTTCAGCGGTGAAGGACTTGTCAGGTTTGGAGTGCTGGGGTAGGGTAGACCGTGCTCAAACTGTGCTCTCTTTTGTGTCTCCTGAAATTGCCTGACCCCAAAACATACCTGCTGTAATTGATGTCGAACCAAAACATGCGCTTGTTTTTTTTATTCTGTATTATCTTCATTTCGGGGCGAAGCTTCATTTTTACATTGTTTTTTCAGGTTTCTTTCAGTTGATTTTGCCACCGGTTGCCTTCCGCTCGCTGTATCAACTCAGTTTTGTTGTTTTCGATTTTCTTTCCACTAGCTGGCAACCCTGCTCGTGATGAAGTCAAGCTTTCGCCTATTTGGATTCCAGACGCCGAGGCGTCACACTGCATGGTCTGTCGGAACACTGAGTTCACCCTTGTGCATCGTAGAGTAAGTGAAGTTTTCAGAAACCTGTTATTGGATTCCGAAACCCGCAGCCACACAAGGGGCGAGATGGCCCAAGCGGTTAGAGCGCGAATTTACTGACTGGAAGGTCCGTGATTCGAATCCGACCTCCGCCTCTCGACTTCCCAGGCAACCTGGCAGTGTACGGTTTCGCTCGGTACTGCAACTCGCATATACTTTGAATTTCATATTTTTACCGACTGGCTGTAAGCCAACTTTTTTAAGGTATTTTTCTGTAGCACCCGTTTAGGCTACGTCCCATCGCTGATTAAGCACAAAACTACACCTGACACGGGGTTTTTCGATCACAAGGCATGCAGGTGAATTGCGGTGTTTTAAACCACGTACTTGTATGTTATATATGCTCCCCACAGCGTCACCCAAGGGTTTTTGAACTGATGTCTGTTGGTGGCATCCTAGATGAGCAGTCTGCCTTGGTGTTGAGGGGCGAGGTGGCTCAGTGGTGCAAAGTTGCTGACCGGAAGGTCCGTGGTTCGAACCCGACCTCTGCCTCCAGACTTCCCCTGTCTAGGTTTGGACAACCTGGCAGTATCCCAGCCTCCGTGCTTCCTTCGGGTGGCATGGCAGCTAGGCACCAAAAGGATACTACAGTTGAACGCTTTTTTTCTTGGTGTTGAACATGGGGTGGCATATGTACCAAAGATATTTTTCAACGCAAGCACCTCTCTTGGGAAACAGTCAATGTCTTTGAGTGCACAGATAAATTTAGGCCTGAGCCACTTTGCACTAGTTCTGGAGGCACTCCTGGGAAACTTCGACTTCGTACCAAATGGTTCTTGGTTCCTGCCTACCCAGTACTGGATTCCCCGGCCTGAGCAGTTCCACACACTCTGAATCCTCGTACTTCTTCTTGGTTGTGTGATATCTCTTCAAACAAAGGATACATCGTTCCAATGTTTCGACTTTTTACTGACTGCTTCAAGAGAAAAATGTTTTTTTTGTCCCCGTCGTTCAAACATCAAGTGCGTGTAGTTTATTGAGGCTGGATCAGCAGTCGATTCGAAGACCCCCAACAGGTGTCCGAACCAGGGTCTTATTCACCTGGCCAGTAGTCGAACACGCTTCACAAGTCTCCTGGCGCACCAACTGTGCGATTGATCCCGGTGATCCAGCAGTTCACACTGATCTTCAGGGTTTATAGACTTTTTCACACCATCTAGGTTCGGATATCAGAGACCAGGAACATCATTTATTGTGATAACGCTCGGGCTTGGCTAATTTCAAATTGCTTTACGCATTGGGTCATTCTTGTGGTGTAAACTTTTTCAAAAGAAACCAGGAGAATTCACTCCAAAAGATTCTCTCTCTCTTGAGCGCCCTGATTGGTCAGACGGTCAATAGACAGAGTGCGTTTTACGGGTTCGTTAGATGAACGAAACACCGTGCCATTTTACCGATTTCATTTCATTCGTTTCGGTTTAATCGATCGATCATCCTTTTATTTCATTCTCGACAGTCCTATATCATAGTACCTTATCTCAGAAGCGAGATGGCTCAGTGACGCGAATTTACTGACCGGAAGGTCCGTGGTTCGAAACCGACCTCTGCCTCCAGACTTCCCCTGTCTAGGTTTGGACAACCTGGCAGTATCCCAGCCTCCGTGCTTCCTTCGGGTGGCATGGCAGCTAGGCACCAAAAGGATACTACAGTTGAACGCTTTTTTNAGATGGCTCAGTGACGCGAATTTACTGACCGGAAGGTCCGTGGTTCGAACCCGACCTGTGCCTCCAGACTTCCCCTGTCTAGGCTTGGGCGACCTGACAGTATCCCAGCCCTCGTACTTCCTTCGGGTGGCATGGCAGTTAGGCACTGAAAGGGTGTCACGGCTGAACGATTTTTTGTACTTTATCTCACTAACTTAACTTGCGATTAGCACTGTTTGAAAAAAATTTACTTGATCTTCTGAATGGTTTATTAATAGATCTGGTGCGGTGGGTTGTTCGAGCCAGATTCTGGTCGCTTATCATAACAGGAAGAGAACAGGGGGAGGGGGCCTGTGGAAACATAGCCTAAAAGTCTAATAACGTTAGCGAATAGGATTTTAAAAAAACAACTTGCCTACACACGCGATCAGAACACATCCGAGTGGCGTGTCAAAGCAATTGACCCAGTATCTCTCGCTTACCTCATCCAACCGAACATAGCTAATCAGTTCGGCTAGCAGTTGACGTCACCCTTGAGAGTCTTTATTCGTGTGGACTGGTAACCACTTGAACCCTAATCAGAAAGACCGCGCAGCACAAACTCACAATGTGTCTTCATCCACTGGGTCCCGTTTTATTGTCTGTCCCACAGCGAACATTTCAGCTCTCTTTGCTTAACGGTGATCGAACGTGTGCATCACGTGTGCAATCCACAGAGTACTGCTCCGATGATTTTGCTTTGTTGCCGGCTTGTTCATTATCTCGCTGTATAACAGGCTGCAGCCAGTGCCGGCTGTGCTGTGTAGACACCACTGATCAAGTGTTTGTGAAGGTTTGGTGTATGTTAGATCTCTGACGCCATGAGTGACGCGATTTGGCCAGTGTTACCCACGTTTTCGTGATGCTTTAATTGAATCCATCTGCTACAGTGTAATCACGACTTAGGCTTCTGCTCGATCAACAATCTCAAGCTCGGAGAAGCGCCAGAGGATTGAAGTCGGTTCCAAGACGATAGACCACTCCAGATTTTCTGTTCAGAGTAGACTTTGCGGATTGACGATCGTCAGTGATAGTGTTCCTTCCCTAGCAAACTGTAAAGTCGGTCGCTCCCGGTTGGGAGCGGTCTTCCTACGGGAGAGCAAGATCCTGCCAAGAATTCGATTATTCATGTGCGTTTCTGGTGTTCATACCCTCGCAGCAACGCTCTATTTGTTCACTCACCAAGTAATCGTTTTTTTTTGGATAAGTGGTTAGAGGGGGAATTTACTGATCAGAGGTCGGGACCCAACCTCTGTTTCTCGACTTCGCCTGTCTAGGCTTGGACAACCTGACAGTATCCCAGCCTTCGTGTGGTGCGGCAACTGAGCGCCGATTTTTAAAAAAATTTCAATCGTTTTGTGAAAGCAAACAACTTTTCGCTGACTTTTCACAGCTCCTTTGGTTCGTTCATTCTCTATTCCGTTTGGCCTGAAGCGTGTTTTCTTTTCCATCACACATGCAATTCACTGGCGATTCACCTTTGTTTTTCCGCGTCCACACAACAACAGCTGTCTGTTCCTCCGACACTACTCGACTGAGTTGACGTAGCATGAATGATGGTAAATAAATCCTGACTGTAACAACTGCCTGTCTAGCTTGGACAACCTGACAGTATCCCAGCCTTCGTGTGGTGCGGCAACTGAGCGCCGATTTTTAAAAAAATTTCAATCGTTTTGTGAAAGCAAACAACTTTTCGCTGACTTTTCACAGCTCCTTTGGTTCGTTCATTCTCTATTCCGTTTGGCCTGAAGCGTGTTTTCTTTTCCATCACACATGCAATTCACTGGCGATTCACCTTTGTTTTTTCGCGTCCACACAACAACAGCTGTCTGTTCCTCCGACACTCGACTGAGTTGACGTAGCATGAATGATGGTAAATAAATCCTGACTGTAACAACTTCCGTCTCCAGCTCTAAGTTTATCAATCGCATTCGGTTGACCTGAATAAAGGCGTGACAACAGGCAAGTAGCTGGATCAGGAATGTACCATTAGCCCGTGGACTATGATGGTTAGTGCTTGCCATTCAAGTCCAATGCTGCCTCGTTACCTATGCGACTGGCCCGTCATTCCTACGCCTCTGTCCACGTTGTCAAATCAACTATTGTATGCACATACTAAAAAAACTGCGCCAGTATCAATAGAGTGGATGATATTGATGCGATGAGCTTTGTGAAATTAATCGATGCAGTTAGTGATTACGTTATGGGTGCCTTTAATTTCATATGATTCACATTTAACTTTCGAAAGTCAACCATATACATACGTAGTGTAATAAGATAAAATAATAAATGAAAAAAATAAACCAAAATGAAAAATAAAATAAATAAATGAAGATGATAAATAAATAAACAAATAACAGCACGAGACGGTCGGTCGCTAAATTGACAAGGCCACAGCGTCCGGTGTTTGTATATTGCTTCAGCAAACTTCCTTACTCAGGTACCACAGTTGTCTTGCCTAGGTCCCCGTCAGGGAAGTCATCAACCAGCGGACTGAGGCTAGTCGGATCATCAGTACCTCCACTTGTTTACCCCGGGGATTTTTGTTCCGTATTTGAAGGTGATGCCCCGTCGAGGTGTTTATGCCTCTGGTAAGTACCGCACGGGGACCATACTCTATGAAACGAGCCTTTTCATCTGTTGGACATCCTATGACAAACTCGTTTATTCATCACACGTTATTGCTACCATAGAAGACTGATAATCCGTAAGCGCCAGTGATCTGAAGTTCGGAGCATTTTACTATCGTCAACTAGCCATTCATGTGGAAGCACATCTCCCACAGAACCGTTGTACACGCCTTTCTATTGAAGCCACTCGAGTTTTGGAATTGTGCTTGGTTGCTTCTTCTGTGAGACTCGCAAACAACTTTCCATGTGTACGCATTTCTGGACTGGCCCGACTGATGGTCCGTTGAGGACAGCTCAGCTGTAACACCCTTTCTGTGCCTAGCTGCCGTGCTACCCGAAGGAAGCACGAGGGCTGGGATACTTCCAGGTTGCCCAAGCCTAGACAGGGGAAGTCGAGAGGCAGAGGTCGGATTCGAACCACGGACCTTCCGGTCAGTAAATTCGCCCTCTAATTACTTGAGCCATCTCGCCTCCAAGGCTTGTCAAACGCATTATGGACTCCATTTCAACATTTGTCGTCGGCCATTCTAGATATCGAATGAGTCTAGAATAGTATAGGTCCTCCAACTAGTCCAACCACACCGTAGGTGGAGGTACCTTGAAGTTCTTGTGGAACTATTGGTCTGTGATATCGTTAGAAAAGTTGGCTATA